GCCAAAAGCAAGGCGACAGTGGCAAGGAACCAAACTCCATCAGATTGGATGGAGAAAAAACCTTGGGAGAACCCAGGCTCAGTCGGGGGCCAGTTCTCCTCTGGCTTACATTCATATTGTTTAAATATAAATATTAAATATAAATATTGTTTATGAATCAAACGGCGCCATAACATATCGCAGGCGTTGAGTCGTCTCATCACAGGCGTGAGAGGCTGGACACAAAACTGGACCTGACGAACGCCATTTTTCTCGGGACAAGCGTCCCGAGATAACAGCAGAAAGGCAGATGGGAAATAATTAGCATAGCTGATGTTCATAATGATTTCCGTTATAACTCACAAACTCTCCGTAACCCGAACTCTCCGCAACCCAACCATACGCGCCGACCATACGCGCCGACCCGTTTGTCTAAAAGGCTGTCGAGCCCCACTGGTGCGTTAAGCAGTTTCAGTGGCAAACAGTTCCGTATGGCATAACAGAGGACTAGAAGGTAAGCATTATGTGAATGCTTGACTAAAGAGATGCGTCTTTAATCTAGTTTTAAACTGTGTCAGCGAGTCAGAGGCTCGGACCGTATCGGGAAGGCCATTCCAGAGTTTTGGAGCTAAATGCGAGAATGCCCTCCCTCCTTTACTGGACTTCGATATCCTAGGAATGACCAGAAGCCTTGAATTTAGTGATCTTAAGGAACGCGGTGGATTGTAGGGCGAAAGAAGGTCCGTTAAGTACATAGGTGCTAAACCATTTAGGGCTTTATAGGTCAGTAGTAGTATTTTGTAGTTGATGCGGAACTTAATAGGTAACCAGTGTAGAGATGATAAAATCGGTGTTATATGATCATATTTTCTTGACCTAGTAAGAACTCTAGCAGCTGCATTTTGTACTAACTGTAGCTTGTTTATTGAGGATGCAGGACAACCGGCTAATAAAGCATTACAGTAATCTAGTCACGAGGTCATGAATGCGTGAACTAATTTTTCTGCATCAGAAATAGATAGCATGTTACGTAGCTTAGCAATGTTTCTAAGGTGGAAAAAGGCTGTTCTTGTAACATATGAAATATGATTTTCGAAAGACAAGTTGCGGTCTAGTATAACACCCAGGTCTTTTACTGTAGTGGATAAAGTAACAGGACATCCGTCTATATTAAAGTTGTATTGTGAGAGGTTTTGTGAGTAGTTTTTTGGACCAATAAGTAATACCTCCGTTTTATCTGAATTTAATAGCAGGAAATTACGCGTCATCCAGCATTTTATATCTTTGAGACACTCTGTCATTTTAGATGAGTTTGTGTTTTCATCTGGTCGTGATGAAATATATAATTGAGTGTCGTCAGCGTAACAGTGGAAATTAATTCCATGTTTTCTTATAATATTACCAAGTGGCAGCATATATATTGAGAATAGCAGAGGGCCTAAAACCGATCCTTGCGGTACTCCATAGTCTACTGACGTTATCTTTGATTTTTTCCCATTTAAACAGACAAAATGAGAACGGTCCGATAAGTACGATCTAAACCAGCTTAATGCCTGTCCCTGGACACCGGTGAAGTTTTGTAGTTGATCCAAGAGTATTATATGATCTATAGTGTCGAACGCAGCGCTAAGATCAAGTAGGACTACGTAGTATTGAAATACGGCCTTGGTCGGAAGCTAAAAGTAAATCATTTGTAATTTTAACTAGCGCAGTTTCTGTACTATGATGCGGTCTGAATCTTGATCCTGAATCTTGATCTTGATGGCATGTGAAGCTTGATCCTCCAAAATATAGAAAACAGCTAAGGTGCATCCCAATCCATGTATGAAACTTTGCTTGGCCTTCAGACAAAACGATTTGCCAGGGAACAAATTATAGATTCATGAGACCAAAGATCGCCTTAGATACACACTAGACTAATTACATCTCATGTTTTAACACTAGACATCAGAGCCAATGGCAAACGTCAGAAGGACTAGCCGAGGTAAGGCTGTTCTCGGCGGGGATATGAGTGCTCAGGGATCGCCTGGATATCATAACTTCGAAAACGTCAGATCAAATTCTCAAATAGGCGCTATCTTCATAAATAAACCACAGATCACGTGACTCAGGCAGTTTGATACATGCTCCGGACCATTGATTCGGAACAACAGATTAATAAAGGTTTCGAAAGCTTCATGAAGCAGTGGCTGTGCCCGAAAACTGACAAATGCTGCCTTTGGAGGACGCATTCCAAGGTCGGAAGGCATCGAGGCACGTATGTCCAAATGCAATGTTTCACTTCCTGTCTTCTGAGATACCTTCATTTCTGATCAGTTTTTGAAGGCAGCATAGACATATCCTTCGCTGTCTTTGATATTCCACAATCCAGTGCTTTCTATTTTGTGACAGTTGAGCTAGAAAAATAAAGATGGCATCTGAAATTTGCAGCTGGTCATCAGTTTGTGTGTAAATGTACACTTTTGATCAATCGCAGACAACTCTGTCTAGCACACTGCGCGCAAACTACATACGTTTCACAACAAACACATGCGAGATGTGACAAGGAAACAATGCAACATCGCACGTGCAAGCCAAGAACAGAGTTTTCATGAGCCTTTTTCCTTTTTGACCTGGTTGTGGTACAGCTCAGATGAAACTTCAAACAGGTGCTCCTGCCAAATTTCTACAAATTTTTCTTCCATTTCTTGGGTCCAAATAGAAGAAGCCTTTTTCTGAAACAATGCCATGTTGATTTGTGATGTACAACTCCTCCTCAAACTCCCCGCTGCTCTCTTTCTGCCGATGTAGCCGATGTAGTTTTAAGTTTGAACACTTTTCACACAGCAGGATTTTGAATCGCCGAAGAGTCGCCAACGCCCGTGAGATATTTGGCATGCTAAATATCTGGACCTGTCGGCGATTCAGAATCCTGCTGTGTGAAAAGTGTTCAAACTTAAAACTACATTGGCGATTCTCTCAGATCGTGTCTTTTCTCATTCACACTGCGTGATTGTCACTCGCGTGAACGAGCACTGATTTGCCTGTGATTTTGGGCATTTGTCTGTCAAACCTGTCGGCAAGACAAAATCGTGGCTAAAATCGTGCAGTCTGAACTCGTCACTAACTAAATGTCAGAATGGGAAAGAAAGGTGATTTAAGCAATTTTGAGCGTGGCATGGTTGTTGGTGCCAGACAGGCCGGTCTGAGTATTTCACAATCTGCTCAGTTACTGGGATTTTCACGCACAACCATTTCTAGGGTTTACAAAGAATGGTGTGAAAAGGGAAAAACCAGTATCCAGTATGTGGCAGTCCTGTGGGCGAAAGTGCCTTGTTGATGCTAGAGGTCAGAGGAGAATGGGCCGACTGATTCAAGCTGATAGAAGAGCAACTTTGACTTGAATAACCACTCATTACAATCGAGGTATGCAGCAAAGCATTCGTGAAGCCACAACACGCACAACCTTGAGGCGGATGGGATACAACAGCTGAAGACCCCATTGGGTACCACTCATCTCCACTACAAAAAAAGAAAAAGAGGCTACAATTTTCAAGAACTCACCAAAATTGGACAGTTGAAGACTGGAAAAATGTTGCCTGGTCTGATGAGTCTTGATTTCTGTTGAGACATTCAGATGGTAGAGTCAGAATTTGGCGTAAACAGAATGAGAACATGGATCCATCATGCATTGTTACCACTGTGCAGGCTGCTGGTGGTGGTGTAATGGTGGGGGATGTTTTCTTGGCACACTTTAGGGCCTTTGTGCCGATTAGGCATCGTTTAAATGCAGATCTCAACCCAATAGAGCATCTTTGGGATGTGGTGGAACGGGAGCTTCGTGCCCTGGATGTGCATCCCACAAATCTCCATCAACTGCAAGATGCTCTGCTATCAATATTGGCCAACATTTCTAAAGAATGCTTTCAGCACCTTGTTGAATCAATGCCATGTAGAATTGAGGCAGTTCTGAAGGCGAAAGGGGGTCAAACACAGTATTATTATGGTGATGTTACTCACATCAATAAGTCAATAGAGCCATCAGCTATATCCGTATAATGGAATACTAGTGTACTGCAAACTACCAGTATTGCGTTTTGTCTTCTTTAAAAAAAAAAGGTGTGCAATAACATTTGAAACAGTAGTGCATTGCTACATTCATTGCATTGTTTAAAAATCAAATTACCAGAAAGGGCTACCCAGATAGCAAAAAATATCCGCACGGCTTCTTTTTGCCGCCGGCCTGACGCTGTCGGCTATAGGTGCGTCCCGCTGGCGGCGATGAAACGTTTGCCGCCGAATACGTCACTGACGGTCACTCCCATTTTTTGCGAGATGCCGCCGGCGAATAGCTGGCGGGCCGCCTGCTTCATTTTCACTGGCGGTTGCCTCCGTCTCATGGACCGCGGCCGGCTGGCGGCAAACCGCTTTGAAATACAAGGATTTCAACACTCAAAATCGACCAGCCATGGCTTACTATTTGCTCCATGGGTTTAGGCTATAACAGATTCTTGACTCTTGATTCCATAAGGTCTAGGAAATTACGTTTAAATTAAATAGGCTATGTAAAATATATGTAATTATTTTATGCAGGTAAAAAATATTTATATTTCTTTGATTGGTGCACATTTGAGACACCAATTAACCAAAAATAATTTGTCAATAAAACTTATTTGGCAATAAATATCTTTCTGATTAGGTTTTACAAAATATATTTAATTCGTGGTATGAACAATTTAGAAGATATTTTATTATTATTTTATTATTTATTTTAAAGGCAATTAAAAAATAGAATCATTTAGATTGTGAATGTTAATTCACTATTTTGTGCATAGAAAATCTATAGCTAAAACAAATGTGTTCTAGCTATAATTTTGCTATTCACAAAATAGCAAAATAGTGAATTAACATTCACAATCTAAATGTTTATATTTTTACAAGACTGTGAACTGTGAAGTACTGAATTGACAGTTTTGCTGTGTTTAAGGTTTTTTTTTTTTTTTGGTAAACGGGGGCTCGATTACACACTGAAGCCACTGACCCCCTAACAATATGACAATCAGTTTGCCGCAGTAAGAACCTTTCTTTTACGATCTATGGTTAGAACACAGCATGAAGTTACAAACTCGTGTACAGTAGGTGGCGGTATGCACCTAAAAGTTGGTTGCAATCAGACAATAATCAAGAGAAGAAGAAGAAGATTGCCGAAGTAGAAGTTACTCAGCCCACAGTTTGCTTGCTAGCAAAGTCATCGACTACCGTCGTATAAGTAAGTATATGTTTCCTTTTTTTGTAACGCAATATTATGTTTACATTGGTTTTATTTTATCTTTTTAAAATATGCTAACTTAGTCATCTTTGTTCTTGCAGTACGCTGCTAGTCCTGTTGCTAGAGTGGCTAACGTTCGCAGCTAACACATGCTGTTTTGCCTTTGTTAGGACACGTTGCTAGTAGTAGAAATGTAATTAGCTACTTACAGTAGTTAGCCAAAGCTTTACATCTAGATGGACTAAGTATAACTTGTATATAGGTTGTGTAAATTATTTTGTTTGTCCGAACTAGTATTTTGCTAGTTCAGTTCACAATGTAGCTAGCACGCTATAGTGGTTAATATTGGTTCTCTTTGATCACTGCAGCAAGCTTTATGGAAAAGAACGTGACATACAACATGCCTGGATTGGTTTGGTGCACCTCCTCAGACAAGAAGCCAAAAAGTATGGTGTCCTTGATAACATATCATGCTTCCCATTTGAAAACTTCCTTGGCATGGGTGTCTTAATAAACAATAGACAGTCATCGCTCCGCTCAGTTATTGGCCCTTGGACTCCCCTGTCACCTCTTGTACAGCATGAGGTTTTCTGCTATGAAGGTATAGTCTAGGCATATGTCTTAGTGTCCATCGTTTTAACAGTATTGAAAACAGTGCCTTTAGATGTATTTATTTATTTTTGCAGATTTACAGAGACTCCAGAACGAAAAACAAACCCTAAGGGAAAGCAATGCACCAGCAGGTGAGAATATGCACTCTTTCTTAAATTTAACTTTTTTGTGTGTGATGTAGGTCCAAAATTACCATATGCCTTTCATTTTGTCGCGTCAGATGACAGCAGCTCACTTCAAGAGCAGGTGAAGCAAGTTGGGATAATGTTGAAGATGTTTGCTCACACTGGGCAATCAGGTACAACTTGCAAACAACTTAAGCATTGGTTGTTGGTTTAATTCCCAATGGGGCCCATTAGTAGTTGAGGGACCCGGACTGACTACTTTATTCTTTTATTATGGGAACCCCTGTAGGTGCAGACGTCTTGGAGAGTTTGGGCGATGTTGTTCGCAGCATGGACAACAAAATGGACTATGCTGCATCATTTTGAGTTATCCCTACCAGGGGATCTGTTACTCCCACTAGACACCCAGGAAGATTTGGCGTTACTTGACAACAGTATGAGGCAGGATAAAGAGCTCCATGTACAATTTGTAAGTGTTCTGATTTCGTTTATATCGCAATAGTGAAAAAAAAAGTGTTGTTTTTTTTCTTTCTAAAAAGTAAAATTAAGATTGTACACAGCATATTCTACAGTATGAATGCACACCCTGTTACATTTTAAACTTATGAGAAGCTTCAGATAAATGTAATTTGTTACACTTTTTTTTACAGGGACCTAAAGACAACTGTGTGGCGAATGCTTCAGAGTATCTTCTCTAATCACCTTTCCATCAATATAACCTGGTCTGTTGTAGGTGATAAAGCATGTTTTAGAGACATGTTCCTGAAGACCATTGTTCAAAGTAAGTTGGATATTTTTTTTTATATTTAAGTAGATGTGTATGACTTTATGCCTTTCAAATGGAATGACAGATCTTTATTTTCTACAGGAGCCATCCGAAAGAACCCGGCGACCCAGGATGCCACTGATGAGGCGATCCAGGTTAACGTTACACATCACCTGAAAGGAGCATCTGACCGTGCAGGTGGAAAAAGGCACCGCTCAGCCGACCCCTTAAACCTAGGCTGACTACTGACACCCCAGCATCACTTGACAACTGGAACCCTTTCTTTATCCTGCAGACAGTAACTTCAAGACATCTAAAAAAGGCTTGTTACAGTGCTTAACTCTTCTATTTAAATACAGCTTGTAAATCCTAGAATATACATCTAATATTTGATTTCTGCACATTATCTGGTATCAAATATTCCACTTGCTGTGACTTTAGTATTGGCTTATTTCATTTCGTCAGTGCTTAACGATTATACATGCTCTATGCACGAACCCTGCTGACGTATGTCCAAAAGAATCTCAGCCAGCATCTTTACTTCCACAAGCGCATTCTGCAGGCAATGTATATAGCGGCAAAACTTTAACAAAATTCATTTTCTTTCACTTTTCAATTCCTCACAGTGTTGTTAACATCATTATCGTTAACCGCAAGAATTTTTCGTAAACAGTGAGTGTAACTTACCACTATCTCCACCTAATGCAAAACCGGCTTCTGGCGCAGCACCGGATGTAACTGGGCGTCCTGAGACAAAGCCGGAAGTGATCGTGCATAGAGCCTATTATAGTTTGCAAATCCCGTTTCATGCCTGATATTTGATATTGCACATTAACTAGTACCAAAAATTCTACTTTCATTCCATCAGTGTGCTTAACTGTTATTCTATTAAAAATAGCTTGGAATACTATTTCATACCTCTGATACTTGAAATTGCACATTACCTGGTACTAAATATTCTACTTCATTCTGTCACAGTGCTTAACTGTTATTCTATAGTTAAATATAGCTTGTAAATCCTTGTGCCACAGGTCAGCATTGCAGTTATAATGGTATATTCTCAAATTATTTGGTGTCCTTAACTTTCTTTGGTACCAAATATCCTCATTACTTGTGTTTACTGGTAATTCTTTTCATCCCAGAGCTGAACTCTTTATGTTATTAGCAAGTATTGTAAGTGTTATACAGTGTTATATAGTTTTATATATACAAATAGTGTTTTTTAACTAAAAATGTATTGGAAAGCTGTGTGTGTTTGTATTTTTCTGTTATATTTCAGCGATCTGACATTGTTTAATGACAGTTACTGTACTTTCAAATGTGGAAATAAAATGTCAAATGAAAATTTGTCTGGTTTGAGCAATCATTATTCTTGATAAACTGCATGCTGTAAATATTAAATTAAATAAATAAATATATAGTGCAATAAGCGGCGGGCCGCGGTCAGCTCGCTCGAAAAGAGCGTTTGCCTCCGACGGGCCGCTGAAGGTCCGCCTTCGGTATAATAGGCGGCGGAACGGCGGCTGGCCGGCGGGCCGTCCGCGGAACGAAGGCGGTAGGAAGGCGGCAGACGCTTTTAAAAAGCGGCTGCCGCCGGCGGTCCGCCGTCAAACGTGTTTGCGATTTCGCCTTTCTGACGCTTCTACTGCCTCCGGAGCGCCGCCGGCGGCCCGCCGACTCATTGCTATCTGGGTATTAGACTATCTATTCATAAATAGGCCTACAGTCATTTGCTAAGTTAAATAAATGAGTATGTTTGGCTATTTTGAAGAAATTGGTTGAAAGAAGAATTTCTACTTATTAGCCTACTTATTAGCCTACGAAATAGCCTACTTAGTTACTGTACAGTCAGGCCCGGCTCCAGCTTTTGAGATGTAAGGTGGGCCAAGTGAAATTCCTGATGGGCCAAGACTTTTAATATTATTTTATTCTTCCACATAACAACTTTATTTTATAACAAAAGAGGCAGGTCTTGAAAGGGACTCTCTATACTTATTCTGTATTCAGGATGAAGGTGGACCAGCCCTCCTCTTCACACTTGCAAAACTCAGTTAGTGAGAGAATCGTGCCAAAACTGGAAGCGCAGGTAAGGCGTCATATACAACGCTTTTGCCAAAGTGTAGCCATCCAACGCACATGGCACTCTTTAGCGTCAAGTGAGACGCAGATATATATGGGGCAGAAGGCGCCTCCTAGTGGTTTAACCCTAACCCTACCCCATACATACCTAAACCTACCATAACCGAAGCGTCTCATTTGACGCTAAAGGGTGCCATGAGCGTTGGATGTCTATGCTTTGGCAGAAGTGCCTTGGGATGAGAATGCGTTGTACAGATTGGGTTATTTCGGGAACTTTTGTTACACAATGCACACAACAAGTCATTCAGACATTTGCAACCGTTTATTTTTTTTTTAAACAAAGTTTGATTTTATGCAATTCATCTGTTTTGCAGTTTCCTGCCTCTTTTTTTTTTTCGCCTGCAGATTTCTGTTCACATGCAGGCTTGCAATACTTTTGGCCACATTTGTGCACAAAAACCGTGCCAAAAGTGTAAGCGCGGAAAAATGAAAGTCTGAAGAATACAGATCTTATTTATTTTGCGTTAGCATGAAGCTGCAGCTTCAAATTACATGAATTACACTTACAAATAACAGTTAAATGCTGCAAATATTTTTTTCTCTTTACACCTTTACAAATCTTCTCTTGCGCATGCAAATTTATTTTACAATCTTATGTACTCTTTCTCAAATCTTACCCTGAGCATACAATACTTTTAGGCATTATTTTACCTTCACAATTCACACTCTATACATTGAAAGATTAGAAGACTTAAAAGTTTTTAGGTTTAGTTGAATGAAGGAGAACAAAGTTTGTACAGTATGTGTTTGTGGTTGGTCTTGTGGGTTTCCTGTGGGGCTAAACTGTGGGGAGTTTGACTTTGTTGACATTCCCTGCTGTGGCTAGTATCTACCCTAGCTCAACTAAAACCACAAAGTTAACCTATGACAGATAGGTTAACTTTGTGGTTTTTGTGGTCCTTTTTGGAACTTTGTGGTCTAGCACAAAGTTAACCGTTGACAGATGAGGAGGGAGTGTCTGTAAGTCGACACTCTTGATTTGTAGATGATATTTACATGCAAATTAATATTAAACAGGAGGTTGAAAGTCTTTCTTTGGTTTAGTTAATATTTCTAACAAGTAGCAACATCATTTTAATGTCAAAATAGAATTTATGTTGAAATATTGCTAAAACAATTTAAATCCATGATGTATAAAAACACCAGCATAGCCATTCACATAAACAGGTGTAGAACATGGATGGGTGGATTTCAAACTAATATGTATTGCTTACGTGATGACTGGCAGGCAAATGTATTTTCTACATTTACATTTACATTTATTCATTTACATGCTACAGTATATATGTCAGATGTCGCACGCCTCTGGAGCAACTAGGGGTTAAGTGTCTTGCTCAGGGACACATTGGTGTCTCACAGTTTATTCGAACCCTGGTCTCTCACACCAAAGGCATGCATTTGTCTAAACTTATCACGTTTTATTATAAATTGCTTAAATTTGCTTCGGGTTCAGGACTGACATTTAGTTTTATAAATGGTCACATAAATCATTTGAGATATATCTTTCTGAGTTTTATATAATTCTCACTGCTTTAAGAGGAAATGTGGTCTGTACACTTTTTTTCATTTAAAGTGTCACTTTTCAGACACTCCCTTGAACTCAGATAAACAGTTAAGATAACATTGCTGAAAGTTTGGAATTCATCCCTGGCTATCCAAGAGTTATATAAGCACCCTGCACTTTAGGAATTTACAGTCTATTCCCAAGGAGTAGAAAGAAATATAGAGAAAAAGAAAACGGAAATAGGCAGAGAGAGAGCACACAAAAAATAAAAAAAAATAAAAAGAATATTCATAATTGAAATACTAAAAGTCTAAGAAAAAACTTTGGACAGCTAACAGAACATGATAATAATTGAGGCCAAGCGAACAACTAACTTTAGGAGTAGGTAAAGGCAGTTGCCGGCTCAAAGTGTATAATTTAAGGCTACTAATTCAAGGATCATTTAAGAAAAAGGCAAAAAGAAAGATTTCAACAAGAGTAAATTAGGGAGGAAAACTTCAGAAAGGAGGACTAAAAGGGATAAGAGGATATTCCAGAGGACTTATTTTGTGGTGATGGAAGAGGTACTGAGTTACGAAGAAGCCATTAAGAGGGCAGGTGATTCTATTTATCGGTTTCCTCTAATAGATGTACAGGGTGTCCCTCTCATGAGCACCATTGCAGACAACTGGAAATCAATCAGTGAATTCTGTCCTGACCCATCAGACCTACTCATCTCTACTTATCCTAAAGCAGGTAAAACACTGTTAAAAAATATCTTGCTAATCATCCTAAGGTCTTGTGCGTTTTAATGTCCAGTTAGTGTAAGACCAGACTATACTGTATACTGTGTTCTTTGCACTCTTTCTTGACACCATTTGAGCAATGGATTTAAAGGAACTGTCTTCTGTTGTGGGAATACAAATTAGATCCACTGATTCTATGTCCTGACATAACATCACATGAAAAAAAAAAATAAAAACTAATGTGAACTACATTATATATGGTATTCAAGATTAACATAATGGCATTAGTTTAATGATTAGATTAAATAGTTTCCATTCAGGGGGTTCTGCCAGTCTCTTCATAGGGTCAAATTTTGTGTGAATATTGACATGTCTCTATTTCTCATGACCTGGCTAGGTCTGCTGGATCTCACAGTCAGGGGTAATGTCCTGTGTTGCCTTTAGATGCTTTGGTTAAAGCGGTCACCTCTGAGGCTAAATTTTATAACAATCTGTAGATTTAAAGTCACTGAGTGACTGATTTGAAAAGTAGCACATTACACATTACATTGAAAAAGTGTCAGGTCTATTATTTTGCATGTACACTCATTTGACAGATTAGTAACAGGTATCAGTATCCTTCACTGTTGTCACTCCTCCTTTTATCCCTCCGCTCCTCCGTGAGAGATACGGGACCGGTTATGAATCACGCCACAAGCCTTGTGCCGTTCTCTCACGGCCCTCCTTATCCAGAAGGAGGGAACTGAGATGTTACGTCAATGACTGACGAATTGGGATCTCGTCTGAGAGCCCAATCACCTCCAAGTGGTACAGATGGACATTGGCAAGTGAGATTTGCAGATTTGCATAGTTAAACCATGGTTACTACACAAAAAAACATGGTTAAACCAAGGTTATCATAGTAAAACCTTGGTTCATTTTTAGTTACTATGGTTTTACTGCAAAAAATATAGTTAAACCATGGTTACTACAAAAAAAAACATAGTTACTACTAAAAAAAAACAAATGGTTTTCTTAAGAAAGGTTCTCTCTATTGCGTAAATTCATCGCAAAGTCATCTCTATTGGGTAAAGTCATCGTTTCTCGAGATTTTGAAGCCAAAAATGATCCGTTATTTTTAATATATTGTCAACGCAGTGCAGCAGCCAGCAGACCAAGAGCAGGCTAACTTGCATGATCTGGGGCTGCCCTGCAGGAACTGCTGCAGCCTACCACTGAGCCTTGCGCTTGACGTCACGCCCAATACGGGTGCTTCGCACCCTCTACGTGTTACAGCTCGCCAGAAGGGGGGTGGCTTACCTAAAGGATAGGCTCGGGGGCTGCATCACTGATTTCATCATCTTCAGCAAAGTTCTCCGCATCGTTGGACTCTGAGAGAAGTCATCCACCGTTGAAACTAGCGACCAGCAAGCAGAGGTCAGCACCTGAAGAGGCCGGCCTTTGCTGCCTTCAGCCTTCCGTGCCTGCTACGACATTTGATGTTGAGTATCTTTTTTTACTGTGATATTTGCCTTGTGAGTGTTTACTGCTGCGGCACTTTTCCTTCTCTAAAACAGCGCTCTCTTCTTGGGCCCAAACCACTCAGTCCTCGCCCTGGATTCAGGAGGCTGCGTGCACTGTAAACCGCTTCCATTGTCGACCCTGCAGGCTCGACTCGGAGCCTTCACCACGGTTGCTGTCACTCTGCCATCTGGACCACGCAAGAAGAAACGTCGTTCGCAGAGGATACCGGAGCCTAAGTTCAGGGTGAAGAGCTCGCCAGATTTCATCCCACCAGCCTCCCTCTTTTCTTATCCGCCCCTCCTGGACGCGCAGCTGGTGGCTTCGGCCCACACTGCCGCCACCTCAAGGGACGAAGCTGAAGGAATCGACCTGGGTGACAGCTGTTCCATCCTTGCATCGGATAGTGAATGGGCCCAAATCTGGCCCAGCCTCTCTCTTTATGCTTTCCCTCTGGTCTCTCTGTTACCAGCCAGCCACTAATCAAGGGGATCAGGGAAACGCGCCACAGGGTGCTCTTTAAAGCCCCGCAATGGGAGAATCAAAACTGGTTCCTGGAGCTTATGCAGTTGTCACACACAGCCCCTTGGCCGATTCCGGTGAGGTGAGACCTCCTCTCTCAAGCCTGCGGCTCAATCTGACATCCCCATCCAGAGCGCTGGTCTTTGCATGCATGGGTAATCAACAGGTATCCGTTGTCTTGCCAGAAGGAGTGATGAACACGATTACACAATCCAGAGCTCCCTCTAGAGGCAGCTTTACACGTCTAAATGGTTGGTATTCTCCAAATGGTGTCGATAGAGATCTAGACCCATTAAGATGTGAGGTCTCGTGGTTGCCTGGTTTCCTTCAAGAGCAGTTGGATAAGGACGGGTCCCCATCCACGCTTAAATCATACGTGGTGGCCTCTGCAGCATTCACTGAGTTGACACACGGTCACTCAAAAGGAAGAAATGAGCTTGTCATCCTTTTCCTTAGAGGAGCCAGAAGGATTAACCACAGGGTGCAATTTGTGAAAAAAAAAACAGAGGGGGGATGTTTTGAAAAAATTCATATAAATATATAATGAGAACATGAACTTCATCGCTGCATTTGCAGGAAAAAAAGTTCTTATTAACTTATGAAGTATCCTAATGCAATATTTTTACTCTAATAGCTTCCCACACATATATGAACTGTGATCATGCACAACGAAAAAACATGCAATAATTAAATCAATAGATTAATAGGGTAGAGGCTAATTTATATCAGCCTCTCCTGAACCATGGATTGATTGCAAAGTTAAACCATAATAGAAACAGTTTTACTGCTTCTGTTAAGTTAAAGTTATAATGTTAATGTTACATCGCGATGCTGAGCTACAGTGAAATGATAGAAAAGATATATGCATCATCTATGTTAATCAATTTGCCTCATTCGCGCCGCAGAACCTCTAGACGCGCGTAAATGCGTCTTTACATTGATTTAACATTGAAATCACTCGCGCCAGACGTTCAAGAGTGAGTGACTAATCAAAAAACCTTTGCTTTAGTCTCAGTTGAGTGAAACACTGTGTGTATAACTTCGGCCATTCTCAGTGACTGGGACACTAGCTCTGCTTGTCATCATAGAAAAAGATAATCAGATTGTGATGTTTATTCTGAATAGCTATGCTGCCTTCCTTTCTGAAAACAGCTCCACAGCCCAGCGTGGACCTGCAACTGTCTTGCAAGTGTTGATAGGCTATTATCCGTAAGGTTTAACCAATTAGATGGAGCAAGACATTGAGCAAGACATTGAGCAAGTCTGCAGACTCGTGCAGAGCGACAGCTATATGAGAGTCAGCCAAAGTGGCGCATTTAAAAATAAAATTGACTTTAATCAAACCACGGATCCGTGATAAGTTTTCTGATCCGTCCCACCACTAGTGTAGTAGCACTGATCACTTTGAGGGGGGGATAAATATATCCCCACCGGGGATAAAAATAATTAAGCAGAGGCAGGGATACATTGACCAGAAACCGGCTCAGGAACAGACACCGGCTCGGGAACAAACACCGGCTCGGTAACAGACACGGGCTTGGTAACAGACACCGGCTCAGGAACAGACACTAGAACAGAAACAGTCACAAGGACAGACACAAACACAGACACAAACACTGGGTCCGGAACCGACATGAGCTCCAGCTCAGGAACAGGCACTGGCTCTGCCTCCGGCTCAGGAACAGGCACTGGCTCTGCCTCCGGCTCAGGAACAGGCACTGGCTCTGCCTCCGGCTCAGGGACAGGCTCTGGCTCTGCCTCCGGCTCAGGAACAGGCACTGGCTCTGCCTCCGGCTCAGGGACAGGCTCTGCCTACAGCTCTGGAACAGGCACTGGCTCTGCCTCCGGTTCTGGAACAGGCACTGGCTCTGGCTCTGGAACAGGCACTGGCTCTGCCTCCGGCTCTGGAACAGGCACTGGCTCTGCCTCCGGCTCTGGAACAGGCACTGGCTCTGCCTCCAGCTCAGGAACAGGCACTGGCTCTGCCTCCGGCTCAGGAACAGGCACTGGCTCTACCTCCGGCTCTGGAACAGGCATAGGCTCAGGAACAGACACCGGCTCAACGCCGTTGACTTAACGTTATTACTGTATATATAAATATATGACTTACCTCAACCCCGTCCCTAAACCTAACCGTCACTGGGGTTAATAGCATTTATGACTGTTCCCTCACCATCCTAGGAAAGAAAAACATAGCTCCCCAGATGTAGATGTACATTTTGCTTTGTTTTGCTCAGACATTTGACGGCGTGTACAGACACGCGGAATGACGCGGACGTTAATGGCGTAGACATACACAGATACACGCGGATAGCTCAAAATGCGTCGAGATAACACGCCACCTGACTCGAAATTGGCGTGTATGTTTACGCAAAAGTCATGATGTCACGTTGGACACAAACACTGGGTCCGGAACCGACATGAGCTCCAGCTCTGGAACAGGCACTGACTCTGCCTCCGGCTCTGGAACGGGCACTGACTCTGTCTCCGGCTCTGGAACAGGCACTGGGTTCAGCTCCGAAACACCAGACACCGGCCTCTCCAATACCCGAGCCAGCCGCTCCAGATAGTCCCAGCTCAGGAAGGCAGACGGATTGTGAACAGTCTCTCGCTGGGCAGACGGGACGTGAACAGTCTCTCGCTCAGCAGACGGGACGTGAGGAGTCTCTCGCTGGGCAGACGGGACGTGAGCAGTCTCTCGCTGGGTAGACGGGACGTGAGCAGATTGGTGTTGAACTTCTTCTCGACCACCTCCTCCTCTCTGCGACCTCCCCGGGTCCCACGAAAAATGACTAGGTGGGTTCCCTCAAAATAATCTCTCTCCCGCTCAGTGGCTGGGAAAGAGAAGTTAGACAACATACCGCTGGATTAGTGTGTGACGGAGTCCTTCTGTCACGATCCACACACGGGAAACAGAAATAAATCCAAAAGCAGATGTTTATTTATAAGGGCAATCCAAATCCGTATTCAGCCAGGCAAGGGTCAAAAATCAAAGCAATCCAAAACAAGAAACAAACAAGCAGGAACTAGGAATTTAACATAGACAAGAAGTCGTGTGACACAAAATACAAGGACTCCGTAAAGCACACTGAAACAGACAGGGTTATATACACAGGGAATAGTCAATGATAATGGGGAATTGGCTGAGTGCAATGATCAAGTGCAATGATGCAAAGACAAGGATCATGGGAAATGTAATTCATGAAGTGAATGACACCGTGGGGAAGGAGGACATAGTGGACACCTGGGGAACACAGTTCCCACACTGTGATAGGTTCTCTCTAGAAGAGGGAACGAGTATTGTGTAACTCGACTGTGCAGGCACCGAGAGCAAATTTTCATTTCAGCTGATGAAACCAGTGATGCAGTCCCCAAGCTCGTCTTTTATACGCTAAGCCACCCCCCTTCTGGCGGGCTGTGTAGAGGGCGTGATGTCACGCGCAAGGCTCAGTGGTGGGCTGCAGCAGTTGCTGCAGGGCAGCCAACCAATGGGCGCGCAGGATAGCCTGCTCTAGGTCTGCTGGCTGCTGCACTGCACTGCGTTGACAATATATGAAAAATAAAGAATAATTTTTGCCTTCAATATCTCGAGAAAAGATGACTTACCCATAGCGTAACCAACTTGTGCAATACTCGTTCCTTCTTCTAGAGAGAACCGAGGTTACGTATGTAACCGAGTATGTTAATTTGTGTAAGGGCTGGACTATGACGTTATTTTCTTCTAGATCTGCTACAGTAGAAACAACCATTGTTGCATTTACTTGTTATCAAAACTGCTTTGAAACAACCTGTATTGAAAAATCGCTAAATAAATAAAGGTGATTTGACTTGACAATAACTGGCAATAACTAGGAGCTAGTCCCGAATCTATACCCCTAAACCTAATTTTAACCCATCGTTACCTTTTAGTATTCAATACTTTCTTTGTAAGTACATTGAAAGTACTCATACTGTAAAATAAAGTGCAACCAGATGGTTTGTGTCAAACATAGCATGTATGTGAGCCTTGTGCTTGACGTCACGCCCAATGAGGGCGCTTGTATGTGTGTGTGTGGTCAATTATTGGCTAAAGAGCATAAAACTCATCAAAAATAAATATCAGTTTATTTCTTGAATTTGCTAGGTTGTCTAGAAAATGAATAACAAGAATGTGCATCAGATTCGTTTTGAGTTTTAAAGTTTTGTAAACTTCATTAATCTGGATACATTTGAAAATGGCGTTTTAAAAACATGGATCACATGACTAAACTCATGTGTTTTCAAATACCTCCGGCTTCACAGTCTACAACACACTAGACACGCTACAACGCGAAAACAGCGTTTTCAAATTTATCCGCTTTAGAGAGCGTTTTCCAAAAGCTACATTTTTATTTAAAACGCTGTCTCAGTGTGGACGGAAGGCCAAACCGTTTTCAAACGAATACGTATTAGTGTGGACATGGCCTTTGTTGTATACTGTCATGGATAGGGGAGCGTGGGGCACAACCTAACGCAGGGTTAAATGTAACACGGTCTTTTTACATAGTTCGTCAGGATCAAGCAGGCTGTCTTTCCGCTCGTTTTCTCTTGCTGCCAGAAGACAGTCTCCCGCGAATTTGCGGAAAGTTTGGATTATATTTCGTGAAGATACTGGACAAAGAGTGTTTTGACACCATAAAAGTAAATTTTTTCATTATATATATTTTTTTCGCTTTCTGGGTTGGGTGTATACGTTTCCAAATCTAAATTTATATTGCCTTAATCACTGTCTTGTTGGCTCAAACATAGCACCATTTTGAGACATGTCAGCAATTCCTATAGCGACTGTTAGCTAGGGTTAAAATATGTAATACACAGCCGGGTTAGTTGTAACATAGCGTTACAACTAAGCCGCCAAGACTGCCACACACAAATCTAATTTAATTGCAATTACAATATTTTATAATTTTATTTATTATTATTTATCGCAAAACTGTGCAGCTCTTTTCTATGTCTCTATCCATGATATTGATCCACAATAGAAGGATGATTGGATGAGGGATGGATGTATGGATATCTGTCTATACAGATGCACAAACAATATCAAACTATACAAATAAAATAGTACTGAATTATGTGTGTTACACACAAGTGTTACAACTAACCGCACTTCTGTCACTATCAGTGCAACTGTATGAAAATGGTAGGTCCTAGAAAAAAACTTTAAGTGTTCATTTGTAGCAGAGATGTGTATGTTGCTTGTGTAAAAAAATAATAATCTAACCTAATTATTTTTTTTGATTAACTGAGCCAAAACCAAAAGGTTGTGGTTTGTGCCCCGCTCTCCCCTACGTTACTCCCAACAAAAATTTAGTAAATGGACTTCAACTTCCAAAACCCAGTAAAGCAGTGGTCTGGGTTCAAACACTCTGACACACAAAGTGAAGCATTCACGTGACTGGAAAGAAAGTGACCGCACGCGTACATCACAGAGACATCTATTTAATGTGTGTGTTTACATCTGGAAGGCGTATTTTTTAGAGTGTTTGCTCATCTGCAATAAGTATGTAGGATGTCAAATAGACGTTTAGATGATGTCTTTAAGATGTAATGATTTAGAGTGTATGTTAAACTGACATCTTAAAGATGTCTATCAGATGTTAGTGAACATCAGATGCTTTCCAGATGAAGTGATCTTTAACAGACATCTTGCAGACGTACAGTATGTGCTATCTGGGGTTCGGGGGCTTCGTTTTTCGTTGATCACGTGTTTCTCTGAAAATAGTACGTGCTCTGGCACGGAGCTTCATGAGAAATTGCACAGCGTACTTGATACGCACTTTGAAGCTTCAGTCAGAGTCAAATGTAACATCACTACTCTGTGCACTTTCCCTGTTTCCTGGATCCTCTCCTGCCAGCTGCAACTGAGGTGTGTCCATCCATTCCCTTCGTTCATTCCCCTCTTAGCTATATTCAAGAAAAGACTGTTACTTTCCGTCTCCATATCATCATCACTCATCGCTCTGTTTAATTCAGATTCCTGCCTGCTTTGACTCACTCTCTGCTGCATCAATAAACTCATGTAAAACTGTTCTCCAGCTGTGCTCTCTGAGTCTGCATAATATTACAGTCATCTTGTAATGTTACACAGAAATTTGCTGAGGCCCCCTTGTGGGCTCCTGCTCCCTGGTTGAGAACAAGTTGTCTAATGCTTGTCTCTGTGTTAAGGCACAACCTGGACTCAAGAGATAGTGGATCTTCTGCTGCACAATGGAGATGCTGAGGTGTGCAAGAGAGCGCCGATATCTGTCCGTATACCATTTCTGGAAAAATTCTCTGCTCCACCTATACCATCAGGTAAGCATTTCTATACATGCTTCATCTATACTTATCACAAGGTTTTTGTGATATGAAGAATGTGTCAGTGCACCTGCATCTACACCACTCATGTCTTGAACATTTTTATCTTTTATGCTTTATTCAGGGCTTGACTTACTTAGACAGATGAAACCACCGAGAGTAATCAAGACTCACTTACCCATTCAACTAGTGCCTAAAGGATTCTGGGAAAATAAATGCAAGGTAATAATTTAATTGAAACGATTGCTGCGTCCCAATTCGCATACTATCCGTTCTAAATAGTATTCGAAAATAGAATTAGTACGTCCCAAATCGTAATATGTTGAAATGAGTGTTTCAAAGATACCCGGATGGTCTACTTTTTCCGGTCAGAATCCGAAGTGTAGATCGATGCACACTCTAACGGCTGATATTGCCCAAAAAACATTGTGCACGAGTAAAAAGTGTTAAAAAACTACAGAGACATGGTCGATACGGAGGACGCGCGAGTCCCCGCGGTTGTGTAGAGAGGTTTAGATAAAGAGCTTTGAGTGACTAATTATCAGTATCTAACCTGACGAAAATGAATTTATTCAATGTTGTCCACATTATATTGCATTTGCAACAGCATTGTGAACTTTTGTAAAGACACGTTTAGCCATTACGTTTTAAATGCATCATTATATTCAAATTGCAAACACGAGGAGAGCATGAAAGACCCACAACTGGCAGATGAACGTGCTCTCCGAAACGGTAGGAAATAAAATTAGATAGAATGGAGGATTTTAACTGTGACGAGATGATTGACAGGGCAGTTTACGGTGACAGGATGCACGCAGCACGCGACAGAGCTGGCCGTTAAAGATGACGTGATAATATGTCCCAAAGCTTGCCTACTCTTTTGCTACACACTCAAAAGTATGTACTTTTTCCTCACAAAAAGAGTACATACTTTTAGGGTGTAGTAAGCGAATTGGGACGCAGCAGATGTGATCATTTCAAAAACAAGGTCAAATTTGGGTTTATTTTCATTCTTCCTATCCAAAGCAAAAGATAACAAAATGACCTGTCTCTAGAGTGTTCTGGTAATAGGTATTCGGCAATATAATGTTTAAACCCCTTGATTTGCCTCTGACCACAGAGTACCAGAAATCATGTCCACTAGCTGCTCTGCCTGCTTTTTCCCAGGTCATCTATATAGCCCGAAATGCTAAGGATAATCTTGTAAGCTACTTCCAATTTGGTCGTATGAATCTTACCCAGCCAGAGCCAGGACCTTGGGATGGATACATTCACAAGTTCATGAAGGGAGAATGTGAGAGAAAACTACATATTTAAATGCAGAATGTAATTTAAAAATCCGGAATCTTTACTCTGTACTCGAATGTTTTTACAGTACGTTGGGGCTCTTGGTATGACCATGTCAAAGGTTACTGGAAGGAATGCAAGGAAAAGAATATTCTCTACCTGCTCTATGAGGACATGAAGGAGGTATAATGCAGCATATCCTTTCAAGTCCTGTCATTTTGCTAAAATCTGATTTATCTTTTATTTTATATCCTCCTTTTTTAGACTGGCTTTCTTGTATCTATGTTTTTCTCTTTTCCTCTCACCAAGAATCCTGTTAGGGAGATTAAAAGAATCATGCACTATCTGGACCTGTCTGTTTCTGAGGATATCATAGAAAGGATTGCGCAGTTGACATCCTTCCAAGTCATGAAAGACAATCCAATGGCTAACTACTCCTTCGTCCCGAAATCTGTGTTTGATCAGTCTATTTCTGCCTTCATGAGAAAAGGTTAATATAAAACCATACTAGAAATTCCTTATTAGGAGTGTGACAATGCACTTAGCACTGTAAAAGGTTTTGCTTCAACTCAACTCCGTCATACTGAAATCATAATACTTTTACGATCTCATCAGTAGAGATGATATGACACTTATTAGATGATATTTATTCTTAGTTATTTATACTTTAAATGTTTTTAGTTATAGAATGAGGAGCAGAACCTAATATTTCCCCCAAAATAATACTGGTGTACCCCCTTAATGGCTGCCTGAGAAAGTTAGATATGTTAATGTTCTTTGTAGTTTGTTCTGGACAACAGTATTGACACTAAGGCTTTGTTTACACAGAAACGATCTGAAGAGAAAACGGAAAAGTGGCATTGCGTTATCACTTTTTATTCTGCGTTTAGATGAGCGTAATGAGTGGGAAATCTGTGTGCACATGGTGACGCAAAAGTGTGTGAAAATTGATATAGTCTGCACTCCAGGCGGCTAGGTGGCGATGTGGAGCACTGCCACACAACAAGTCAGTGCACCTGCATTCAACGTTCACTGTTTAGCTAGTCTCAGCCTCAGACGTCACGTTGGCTAAACGTCTGATGCATATGGTACACTTAACTGGAAACACTTCAGGAATGTCGAAGTCATCATCTGATTGGTTGAATTTTATCGGATTTCCGGGGGCGTCAAGTGTCGCGTTTATTTTTGGTCCGCCGGGAAACAAAGCGCAGTGTGATTGCGGAAGAAAAACTGTGAGTGGGGGTTCAATCTTCAACTGGCTGGCAGGAGCTGCCACTGGCAGGTCACGTGACCTGTCAGTGGCTGACTGGCAGCTGCCAGTGGTTGTCTGTCAGTCTGCCTTTGGCAAGTTTCAGAAACCATTGATTTTTGAGTTTTTGTGTTTTGTGTTCCTCAAATTTAGTAGTAGGATCCCAATTTAACTAGTCAAATGGCCGTGATCAGACTGGCAGCTTACAGACGCTGGCTGGACGCTCATCCAGTCAGCTGCGGCTGATCAGCGAATATAACGCGCTGCCTGACACTCTCACTACAAGGAAATAAATTGTTTTTTTTTATTATGAATATAATGTCATGCATTTATTCTTGTATATCATTGGTGTTTTGGGCACTGTTATCCGGATTAAACCAGTCAAATGGCCGTGATCAGACTGGCAGCTTACAGACGCTTGCTGGACACTCATCCAGTCAGGGGTGATCAGCGAATATCGCGTTGCCTGACACTCTCGCTAAAAGGAAATAAATTGTTTTCTTATTATGAATATAATGTCATGCCTTTATTCTTGTGTATGATTGGTCTTTTGGGTACTGTTGTCCCGATTAAACCAGTCAAATGGCCGTGATCAGACTGGCAGCTTACAGACGCTTGCTGGACGCTCATCCAGTCAGCCCATGATCAGCGAATATAACGCGTTGCCAGACACTCTCACTAAAAGGAAATAAATAGTTTTCTTATTATGAATATAATGTCATGCCTTTATTCTTGTGTATGATTGGTATTTTGGGGCCGTTTATCCCGATTAAACCAGTCAAATGGCTGTGATCAGACTGGCAACTTGCAGACGCTTGCTGGATGCTCATGGAGTCAGCCGCGGAGTCTAACGCGTCGCCTGACACTCTCGTTACAAGGAAATAAATAGTTTTCTTATTATGAATATTTTTTCATGCATCTATTCTTTAGAGTACTTTATGTTTTGGGGACTGTTGTTATCCCAATTAAACCAGTCGAATGTGCCATGATCAGACTGGCAGCTTACAGCTTTGCTCGGCTCACAGAGCCGCGGCTGATCAGCGATTATAATGCGATGCTTGACACTCTCGCTGCAATGAAATTAATAGTTTTTTTTTTTTATTAAGAACATAATCTCATACATCTATTCATTAGTATGATATGATGTTTTGGGGACCGTTGTGATCACACTGGCAACTATACGCTTTGCTGGACGCTCATGCAGATCAGCCAGCCAACAAAGCGTCAGCTGCCAGTCGGATCACGGCACGACTGGTTTAATCGGAATAACAGTCCCCAAAACATCAATCATACATAAGAATAAATGCATGACATTATATTCGTAATAAGAAAACTATTTATTTCCTTGTAGCGAGAGTGTCAGGCGGCGCGTTAGACTCGCAGTCTCAGCCGCGGCTGACTGGATGAGCGTCTGTAAGCTGCCAGTCTGATCATGGCCAATTGACTGGTTAAATTGGAATAACAGTCCACAAAATAGCAATCATAAATAAAGAACATTATTCATATCAACAGATTCATAATAAATGAGCTATAAAGGGAGGAACACAAAACACAAAAACTGTCAAAAATCAATGGTTTCTGAAACTTGCCAAAGGCAGACTGACAGAAAACTATAGCCGGCCACTGACAGGTCACGTAACATGCCAACCAGCCACTGGCAGCCTGGCAACTGGCGGCTCCTGCCAGCCAGTTGAAGATTGAACCCCTACTGAAAACTGTTGTGTTTAACTTATATGAGTGACCTATGTGAGTGACAATGAGCATTTATTAAGATCAGCTAAAGTTGTATGCCCCCTCCTATCTATTATGGAAGATCAAGTGAAGTACTTAATTGCGAAGGGGATATCAGCCGCGTTTGTGGGCAAACATGAAACAACAGATGCTGACATCGCAGCTGGCCGATTCAGTATTCATATATAAGGCGCACACTGGATTAAAAGGCGCCTAAGATACTGCAGAGTCAAACGTTTGACTGGGTTTGCGTTATGCATCCACTAGATGTGCTAAAAGCTAATGGGAATGTAGCGAGTGCGCGGCGCCGGAGGTGAGGCGTTTATTTAGTAAGCGTGAGTGCGCTGGGGCGGGGACGTAACTTACATTCGCAGCCTGACTCATGTGAGTATTCAATGTGCGGCGGCTCGATGACAGCCACAGCTGGCTGTTTTCAATGAGACGACCCGGTTTACTGTGAACGGGGAGCGCTTTGTGAACATTCTGTGATGCACGCAGCGCCGGGGACAGTGTGTCTGTTAAAGAGTGAGCGCTCGTGAGCGGGCACGTGATTTACAAACACATAACCTGATTTATACGAGGTTGAACTGGCCGTGTGACAAAGCAGGCATAAGACGGACATGAGCGCGAGTTCGTGGTTGAATTTAATAACGCGGAGCGTTGTTACGAGCGCCTCCGGTGACTGCTGCTGACTGCTGACTGACTTGTTGCACGCCGGTCTGTTGTTGTGGGGACATTTCCACGCCCTGAAATGTGACGCTGAACGAAACAAACTGTAATTGGTTGTTTGACATTTAGGTCAAACGGTCTTATGGGCGGGCCTTGGCCAAAGAAAGCTGCTATCCACAAGTTTCCTACGCTCCATGAGGCCTTGCGTCAAAAGTGGGCGCGACTTCCGGTTGGAAGTAAACAAAGCGCGATTTGACATGCTTGACACTCGTTCATTCAACAGTTGACAGTCATTCAAGTTATAACGATCCAAACTAGCTAACGATGTGGGAACATAACCTCAACGAAATTCAAAAGGGTGAAATAACAGTACCTTTACCTCCGCAGTAGTTGATTGGGAGTATTATCATAACATTATTAATAATCAATACTCATCAAGGTATGGTGACAGACAGTTGTGCGAGCTGACAAAAAATTAAAATAAAAAATACACACTTAGTCATTGTGCTTTGGAGTTTATTCAAAATTATAAATGAATGTGCTGCTTGAATACATTAACTGGCACATTTGGTATTCTGTCAACTCAGGCTTTGATCCTGATCTTAGCTGTAACATCAGTAGCGAACAGCCAATCACATGCTGATAGAGTTTATAGAACATTAAGAATTTAAACAAATGTACACAGGAAGATTCGTCGTCTTTTGGGATGTGATGGAAACTACAGTCGTTGGCAGGATCACTCTGATTTCGTTTTCAGCTTATGTTCAAAACAATCACGTTTAAGCCACTGAACTAGTTTAATCCGGTTATACATACAACCGCGAACAGCACATGTTGTCCATGAACTCCGTAACACCATCTCTCATAAAGATTTGCGTCTTTAAATAGTAAAATAATTCTCAAAAAAACAGCTAGCCTCTTCGCTAACTAACACACAAAATACCATTGGAATGCTACTTCCGCCGCCTCACCGGAAGTTTCACCCACTTTATTTTTTACAGGAGCGCCCCTCGGAAACTTGTGGATAAATTCCAGACCTTCAGCCGTCAGTCTGAAGGTCTGGCTACATGAGACTACTGTTTAGCAGACTTTTGCATTTTTACCCTTTAAACGAGAACACGACGGAGGAGCGTTTTTAAGATTTCCACTCTGGAGGGTGGTTTCACTTTTTTGCGTTTTTAAGCCACAAAAACGCCGCTGCCGTGTAAATGAAAAGCACATCCGATAAAATATTTTTACATTTTCAGGGCCTAAGAGAAATCCAGCAACATTGTGGTGTATCCTTAAGGACCCTTCCTTAGGGTATATAACAGATAATACATGAACATTAAAAAAAAAAAAACATCTCCATATTAAAGGATTAGTTCACTTTAAATGAAAATTAGCCCATGATTTATCTCGACTTTCTTCAGACAAAATTATGGAGTTATATTAAAAAAATATCCTTGCTCTTCCAAGTATTATAATGGCAGTGGATTGCAATCAACAGATTGAAGCTCAAAAATGCCCATCGGTCCATCATAAACAAACTCCACATGGTTAATAAAGGCCTTCTGAAGCAAATCGATGAGTTTGTGTAAGAAAATTATTAATATTTAACACGTTACAACGTAAAATTCTACCTTCCGGCCAAATGAACTCTTTGTAAAGTGTAAAGTGTACTTGTAAAGTAAACTACTCCTTTAAGCTCATTTAATCAGTATTAGGGAAACAAAGGAAATTCACAACAGCTGACAAGCTCCACCCACAATGCCACATACCATAGAAAGAAATTAGGCTTGTTTGAGATGAGCAAAATCTGCATCAAACTATGGAGATAGAATTGTTGCATTATTCCAAATAAATAGATTGAGATTCACAAACAAATGTAAAGAGTTTCACAAAAATGGATAAAACTCACACATAAATAAAAGATGAGATTTGCAAATAATAAGAAAAATATTTATTAATGTGTTTTTTGTCACACACAACTCTGCCAGGCATTTATTTGTGAACGCTTTCTGTGCATTTTCAGATCACTGCACGCATTTGTGAATATCTTCTTTTGCATTTGTAAATCCCCTCATGCATCTGTGGATTTTGAAATACTTAGTGCAGACAAATACGTGCAGACAAATCCACAAATAAGTGGACTCAAGCCAATCGATAACGGCCTCATTGAACTGACTAGTCATAGCAAATAAAACCAAATGCATTTGATTATAATTAACATGACAAAGTGTGCAAAACTAAAGTAGCCTAAATTTATTTTTTACATTTCTGTCTGAGGTTACGATCTTGACTGACGGGGGGAAAAACTGATAATTCCGGTCCTTGATTCTGATTGGTTAAGCCGCGTTTGAAGCCATTGTAAATGACTCAACAAACATACACCTGTGACCACATTACATTAGGATCACTGCACAAATTCTATTTGTGATTCTTCGTTGCTACCTGCATGACAACCTCTTTCGAACTAAATTGCTTGGCGGAGGAATAAATGCGTTATAATGTTATATTTTTTGTTGCTGGTGTTTATTTTATGAATAAAATAAATATTAAAATGAACATTTTTATGGAGTAACTGCTTTATAAAAGCAATAAGCCCCTTGACGCAGTGTTTTACAGTGGATTGAGAACAGCTAAGGGGGTTTTAGGAGTTCTAACAACGCCCCTTAGCTGTTCTAAATACACTGTAAATGAAGGCTTCGCTTTTGCTTTCGCTATTGCTTTAGTGAATAAACATCAAGGTAACAACTTCCATTTGAAAACACACCAGAGCTATATAATACATTACAGTACAATAGTGAAATATAGTTTAGCTGTCATTATACAAACCCCTCATGACAGTTGAGCAATCATAATCAATTATTCAGAGGCTCATGTAGCCTAATAAGAAATTATATAAAGTACATTGTGGTCAAAATTAATAAATAAGTATGTTTGTTTTCACAGGAGAGGTCGGTGACTGGGTTAACCATTTCACCCCAGCTCAATCCAAGATGTTTGATGAAGACTACGCAATCCAAATGAAAGACACAAACATTCCTTTCCGCTTTAGCATCCATTAATAATTTGTGCAATATAATATCACATTCACACGCTTCAACTAATCTCTTATAATTACAAATTTATTATATATATATATATATATATATATATATATATATATATATATATATACATATTCAGAGCAAATAAAATGTCAGCATTTCTAAAAAAAAAAGTTTAGACCTATATCAGATTTAGAGCAATATGCTTTCAGGCTCAGGTACAAAGGGGGGGGGGTTGACTGCTTTTTTTCTTTGCATGATTGTATTTATGGGGTGCAATATAACATGTATTCGTGGTTTTCCTTTTTTTTTAAAAGTCTTATTTTTCATAAACTTCACCTTTATTGTCAGCCGCGCTCTCCTCTGTCCCCTGAACGAGCGGTTGACTTCCTGATTCTATGAAACCACTCCCTCAGAAACACGTAGTGGGCTCAGATTGGTTAGTTTGGCCCGGTGTGTTGTGATTGGCTAAACTGTCGCTCACGTTGTCCGGAAGGTTAACGCCCATTACCTTTATGGGCGAAACGTGAGTGTCATGAGCTCCGGTCCAGATGTAAATATGTATCGAACTGCAGTATCAGTTTCAGGCGTAATCAGACCGAGAAAGCGGCGATGAAGAGAGTCAAGCAGAACCTCACCACACACGGCTCTTACTAAACATTTCTGAATGATAATTTGCTACATTTTTACATTTTATACACGTTTATTTTACACAATAGCATCTGACTGGCAACAATAGCAACTGACTGGCTACTAATGTTATACTCAAACAGCGTTGGCAAGTTTACGTTCTTGATCAAATGCATATATACATGAAAAATACGTTTAAAACATTAGTAATTATTGAAAATTCAGGTCCATAATGTTTGTACACGTTTGTCGTAGACACAAAATAGCATAGGCTAACTAGTAGTGGCTATAAAGCCAGCGCTGGCATTTGAAAAAAAATAAAACACAAGGCTACGTCTGGAATTATACATGCAAATAAAATGATTAAGACTTAGCCTACTTGCAGGTTGTGGCCCAACAACTGCTGCCAAAGTTGGAACTGCTTCATGTTTTAGTAACAGTTTCTTGTTGAATCCGGTGTTGAATTCGTGGAGATTCTGGAAGCTGTCTTCTGTAAAATGCGCAGCACAGAAAGCTAGATTACGATCGCCATTTTCAGGAACATAATCAAACATAAATTGTATCCATTGTTGAGGAAGTATAGCGTTCAGCAGAAGACCTGACAGCTGCGTGAACAACACACTCGACGAGTCGACGTTCCTCAGAAATACGCGCATGCCATTTTCTGCATATTCTGAGGGAGGGGTTGATGCAAATGTGTGGGTTAGTGACGTACCATAACCCAGCTGTAGTCCCAATCGAGTCGTTTTAGGCAATATACTTCCTGATTTTTAAAAGACGATATCTCTGCTTACAGTGAACTTTCAGCGCTGCAACTTTGCAGATACTGTTCATGCACCAACAGCAACATTACACACTATTTAAAATGAAAAAAGTGAAATCGCAGTCAACCCCCTCCCTTTAAATGTTAGAATTTATAGCTTGATTAATTTACAGTTAAGGTCAAGACAATTGCCAGGATGGAAACAAAGAGCTTAACTAAGCCATTGGAGGACATCATGGTGTGTCCAATTTAAGGTTATTTAGATTTTCTTTAAAACCATTTTTGAACTGTTGATGTTATAATGCAGATACTCTGTATTATCTAATATGTAATGTTTTAAATTTGCACAAACCAAACTAATACCATAAAACTTCACATAGATGATCAAATCCATTAATGTTTGTTATGTTGTTTTCCTCTCTGAAAATGATATTGCTTTTTGGAGGATGATGACCTCCATGGCTTTTGTTATTTTAAGGCATAGTTCACTTAAAAATAAAAATTATTTCATTACTCACCCTCATGTTGTTTCAAACCCGTAAGGCTTTCGTTCATTTTCGGAACTCAAGTGAAGATCTTTTTGATCAAATCTGAGAGCTTTCTGTCCCCCCATTTACATCTGTGCAACCACTTTGACACTTCAAAAAGTTCATAAAGAGACCATAAAACTATAATCCATGTGAATTGAGCGGTTTAGTCAAAACTTTCTGAAGAGACACAATCTCTTTATATGATGAACAGATGAATTTAGGCTTTTATTCACGTTGCATTACTATCTCAGTATCTCATTCATTCTGTTTATTAATTTTCTCATATATTTTAGTTTGTTTTTATTGGTTTTAAAGAATTACAAATACAGCCTAAAACAGGAAATAAAATGAATAAATTAATTAAACAGTGACAAAATCAAGTTAAGCAAAAACATTGAAATAAATGTTTACAAAGAGAAACACATTTTACAGCTTTCTGATTTTTTTTAAACATATTTGTTTTTAGGTATTGATGAACTTCTGCCTTTAAAATCAAAAACAAAGTCTCATTTCAACCATAATTGTGGTTTGCACTCACGTGATGGAGGGCAAGGCAAGGAGTGAAGAGCGCAATGGACAAGATGGAGGAAAATCCTAATTTAGAAAAATCCTAATTTAGACGCTATTACAAGAGAAATATATCAACAGAAAGTCGAAACATATGTTGGACGTGATCCGTTATGAAGAGGACCGATTTTCAACTGAATTGAGAGATTTTCCTGCCATCGAGGCTGTAGATATCAGCAACTGGTCTTACAGACATACTTTGACTTTAAAAAGTTCGGAAACTGGTACATTACACGAACAGCCACATAAGTGTATTGTATTTAAACACCTGAATAATGCAATTATAAGCCACATAAATAATGTATTAACACACATTTGACGAAGTGATCACTACAGTGCACACACACACACACAGGCATTTTCCCATTTGGCTCCTCCCGACCACAAACGTAGGTTTACAAGGCATTTTTCCCTGTGTTTTTCTGTCAATTTCTTGTATTTCACTCTTTCCAAAATGATTTCACACTTTGGCACTCAGCAAATAGATGATTCAAAGACTCCTCACTGTTGCTACAAAAAGAACATTCTTTACCAACATCTATAAAATTAGAAAGCCACATATTAGTTGGATATATTTTGCGTAAGATCTTCAAGTGAATTTCTCTTACTTTTAGTAAAGAGGTTAAGCGACTTTTGACTTCAAGTCATGATGCAAAGTTCCCCTTTGGTATGGAAGTACCTTATGGCCATAGAAATATATTTATCCTAAGACACAAGTGAGATCACATTTTGTTTCTTATATACGCACATTTTTTAAAAACGGCCACCAATCATACTTGAGAGACCCATATCTTTGCCTCTGTTATAGCTATAATGACAAATTTGGTATCAACGTGTAAATTTTTGTGGTCAAGGAGTCCAATAAAGTAGGTTCCAAGACTAGAAAACAATAATGTTGTCCTTACCATGACAATTGGAGGTGAAGTATGCAATTTTTTATCAAAAAAAGCATGCCAAACACACAGTCCATTCACAACTTAAAGGGATAGTTCACTTTGAAATTAATTTTTGATATGTTTTGGCTTACCTCAAGGGCATCAAAGATGTAGGTGTCTTTGTTTCCGCAGTAGTCTCAATTTTGATATTTTTAGGTCAAACCGTTTGTGTCAATCAGTCATATAATGGAGGTCTATGGGGTCCAACTCAAAGAGCATGCACAGAGAAGTCCAAATTAAACATGATTAAATGACTCGTGACCTAAGACATGAAATGAGTGGTTTGTGTGAGAAAACGAACAGTATTCATATCGTTTTACCTCTTGTAACCACAGCCACGTCCAACTGATCTGTGGGCGCAGGCGCTTTGTGGCTGTGGTAACAAGAGGTAAAAACAATATAAATACTGTTCGTTTTCTCACACAAACTACTCGTTTCGTGTCATTTACGAGTCATTGAATCATGTTTAAATTGGACTTCTCTGTGCATGCTCTTTGAGGTGGACCCCATAGACCTCCATTATACAGTATGACTGATAGACACAAACGGTTTGACCTAAAAATATAAAAAATTGAAACTACTGCGGAAATAAAAACACCTACATCTTGGATGCCCTTGAGGTAAACTAAAACATAAACATATCAAAAATTAATTTTAAAGTGAACTATTCCTTTAATAATTTCTGCTTCGCCTTTACAGCCTTTACAGCACTAGCTGAAGTCCCGCGTCGAGCACGGGCATTCGGTCGTTTATGTCTCAAGGTAACTCAGAACTGTATCACAGCTCTGGAGCCCTGTGAGGCGGTCGACTGGTATCAGACAGGTGTAAACCTGGGGGTAATCTCGAAACTGAAAGTAGTTTCGACAGACGCCTCCAATTCACGCTGGGGCACCCTCTACAAGGGCAGCTTGCACATAAACTGTCTAGAGATGAAGGCGGTTGAGAATGCCTTGCGGTTCTTTCTTCCACCTCTAAAGGGCTACAATGTCCTTGTCTCAGTCAAGTGGGTGGGTGACTTACACGCACTTTCTGTTAGCGCGTCGTGCCTTGAGTTTGGGCCTAATGACTACAAGGTCATCCTCAAACCAAGACTTGGTTGTGCTACCATCTGGTTTCGCTTCAGTCGATGAAAACCAAGGAGCATCCTATCAAGCTCTGGCTTATATTGGCATAAGCCACGCCCATTCACGCGGGACGTGACGTCTGAGGGCGCTGGCGCCCTCATTGGTGCTTACGTCTCGAGCAGTCCCTCGATAGGTTGCAGCAGTTGCCGCAGAGTGGAGGGCTGCATTGGGATTGAGTCCCGCCGGGTCCCGCTGAACCCAATGCAAATCACGCGGGAGCGGGCACTTTGAACTTTGGTGCGGGTGGGAATGGGCGGCTAAAAAAAAATTGTGGGATCGGGAGGTAGCCTAGCGACATGATGGAGATGTCAATAAATGATGTGGAAAAGATCCTCAAGCGAGGTATTTACAGCACAAAACCTAAGCAAGGCAAGTCTGACATTTGGACTACTATTCATCTTCCTGATCAGTGCGTCAGAATACATGCAGGCCAGGGTAACGAAAAAACAACCCCATGATTCTCTTTAATAATAGAAATACAAAAACGTGTTTTTTCCTATGGGATGGGAGAAGACACAAAATCAATGCA